CCCATGTCTTACATGAGCTGCCTGTTACAGAGCTGCTCTTCTCAGAGTGCCACAAGAATTATGCTGCTCTTACCAGATCATAAATAAAAGGTCACATTCTCAACATAGGCACATGGAGAGGACTAGCCCTGAAGAAAGTCAGGGTTACAGCACAAAGCAGCGTATTTCATTTTGTCAGCAGCTCCCTCCATCTCAGAGGGCTCTAGGCTTCATCTGATGCCTCATTCCTTGGCCTTTCTCCAAGGTTTCCTGGGCCTTCTGTCAGCCTGACACCACAGCTACAGAGAATCTGATCGCCTCCTCCTCCTATCCCCCTCTGTTCCCTCTGCTAGCTTCAGACTAAAATCCTTTCCCTTGAGGTACAGGGTGTTTTAAAAAACAGCTCCACATACCTGTTCATCTTGGGACAGTCACAAACCAAGGAGATTCTCAGTCTGCTTTTAATTTTTAGGCAGACACCATTCATGAGCTAGGGACAAGAAGATACTCCACCTGCCCGTGGTAGGAGCCCTAGCTGCACCTCGACCCACAGGCTGGTCCTAAGTGCTTTTGCAGGAGTGCTCAAAACCAGCACATAGGTACCCAAAGATAAAGCTTAATCTCTACTCTTCCTATTCTTACAGCCTCCATTCAGCTCATTTTCTTTCAGAATACCAAGAAAAACACCACAGACTAGTCCCAAACCCCTCCCTTAGGGCAGTACAATGCTCAAATACACACACAAAATTCTCAATACAACACCCCATGACATGTGCAATTCGAGCTTCACAACTATAAATGTATTGCTACTAGAACATCTACATGTAAAAAAAAAATCCCACAAACCTCTAAAATGCCCAAACCCTACCTGCTTTCCTAGCATACTTACACTAGCTGCATGAACTACAGCTCTATATTTGGATATCCCCCAGTAACCTCCTCTCACTAAATTTAAGCCCCGCCCAGTACTCAGATATACAAACCAGCAGCTGGCAGCTCCGCCTCCATTTCACAACTTCCCAAAAAGGAACCCCTGCCCTGAATTTCTGCCCACCCAGGGCTGGTGCAGGTGCTAACCCTCAGTTTGGTCAGCATCACAGCTGTTTCAGCAAAAGGCTCTCACGATCCACGTTCCTGACACTGTGCCTTGTTTCTTTTTGTTGTAGAAAGCCTGATGCCCTGACATGGATCTTTTGCCTATACAGTAATAAGCTGTGTTACTCCTCTCCTTTCATGCTAAGAGATCAAACGAAAGACTCACACCTGCGCTCCCAACTCCCCTTGCTTTTAGGTGTGGAAGCCCAAAACACCCATGTACAAAACAGCTGGTTCCGCTCCTGGCTAGCCCTAGGGAAGTTTTGACTTCCAAGGGATCTTCACTTCTGTCAGGTCTGATTAGGATTTGACAGCAGGACTGAGGAGGTACCGTTTGCCCATGTCTCTGTATTGTCCACATCAGAGGTGATGGAGGTGGTGCATTTGCTGAGCAAAGCCAGGTGTGGGAGGGAGAAAACTCCCAAAGTTTTAATCATCAATGCAATGATCAGTGCCTTACTAATTTGTAATCCAGGTGTTTCCACTTCTGTTAGAAGTCAGTTATCATGTTGATTGGTGGTTTCCCTTGAAACCTACCATGCTGTTTTCCTGGTCTTTCCTCAGATTCTTTGCTTTTGCTAAGAATTTTGTAAAGATAAATTTCACTCTTTAAGCAGTGAAGAAGGGTTTGAAGTCTTGACTCAAGTGCCCCTGCATCCCCTGTCAGAAACCTACCCTGGTCCCCCCCACTTGATGCAACACCTGAAGCTGCTTGGCTGATCAGCAGTTAGCACTGGGAGAACAGGTGTGTTGCGATAGCCTGAGAGGATTTGAGTGGGAAGGCTGAGAGCCTCTGCTTCTGAGCTCTCTGCTTTAGCTCTTTCTGGTATTGGGGATTATTCTGGCTGAAGAAAAGTCTGTTTTTGAGCTGTTCTGTTCGGGTTTTGGAGCTTGTGGTGCTGTTTGTGGAAGGAGGCAGAAAATGCTAGTGTAGCTGAAGCTCTGTTTTCCAACAATTTTTCTTGGAAGAGGGGGGGTTTAGGCTTCAGTGGCTGAAATGAGTTTGCTAGGGATGGGAAGGGAGGGAAGCTTGTTTCATAGGTACAGGCATTCCTTGCTGTTCCTCAAGGCTGAGAAAATACAAGGGCTGAAACCTGGCATGGCTTGTTAGTGTAACTTTTGTGAAACTGCTCCAGGTTTTTGAATGTCTTTAAACTCATATGTTGCCTGCGTGGGAAATAAAGATGTCTCGGCGCAGTGCTGTGTGGCTGCTATCAGCAAAGTGCTTCTATATTCGTGTCCAAAGCTGCTGTGGTGCGTGTTTAGTATGTTCGGTGCACTAGTGATGTGCTTAAACCAGAGACTCCACTCAGCTTGAGCTTTCGCCACAAGGTGGCATTATCTGAGCTTTTTTTGCTAAGGAAAAATAAAACTTACCACCCTTAATAATAACAATAATAATTTTTTGGGGGGGGGGATGTTGCTGCTTTCAGAGAGCTGCCAGTGAGACTGAGGGTCAAGTCCCTTTAAAAAAAAAAAAAGTGAAATACAGTATTGTGCATCTTGAAATCTGAAACCGAGAAACAGAAGTGCAAGGGAAACAAGGGGGAGAGTCTTGCAATTCCAGAGGACAACTGTTGCAAGTGGAGTTTTAAGGAATAATATATATGTGTATACATATATGCATGTTTAAAGGTTATTGAATGGCTTTTGTGGAGAAACCTGTGTAATAAAGGAGCCTCGGAAGAAGAGATTTTTTTTTTTTCTCCTTCTCCTCTCTGGATATAATGGCTATTGCAAAGCAAAGCATCTTGAGTGTTGGCTTCAAATATGTCTTCCTAGCAACTTTTGTGCTAGCCTGTGGTGGACAAGGTGGGAAGAGAGAGAATGGTGGTCCTGCCTGTTACGGAGGATTTGATTTGTATTTCATTCTAGACAAGTAAGTCAGTTCTACTCTGTTCTTTTTCAAATAAATCTTTCTCTGGGTATGAACTGGAATGGCATCTACTGATACCGAGGAGGTTTTCTTTGGATTTTGGTTTTGTAGAAGTCTCTGTGTCCCTGAGGGACCTGCAAAACTCCTTACTCCTCTGTTTTTTATTGTGGTTAGCTTCTTTGCTATGGCTAGTGTATAATCCCATTGTACTCTGTAAATCAAACCATTGTAACTTTTGCTGTTGGCTGATAGAGAAGAAGCTTTATTGTGTACTTGACCCTGTAGTATCTGAAAAGAGTGGCTGGAAAAGGGCAGCACCCTGGTCACCTCTGGTTTCCCTATGAACTGTAAAGGTTGAGACACTCATGCAAGCAGGGCTTGGAGAGTTATTGCAGGCATTAATTCAGTAGCTGAAAACGTGGAGGCAATGCTCGCCTGCCTGGAGGTCTGCTTCTGTACTTCTTACTCCTTAGCTCTGGATGTTCTAGAGCAGCAACTTGGGGGTAAAGACTGGGCTCGGAGAGGTGGCTGCTCCCTTTAGAAGGGTCTGATTTTGGCTGTCGTGATGGAAAACAGCTAGAGTGCCTTATTTAAAGAGAGCTTTATTTTTTCTATGCTGAGTCACATTTTCTTTGTTTCCTGTTAATCAAATGCATATTTTGACTGCTTAACTGTTTAGACTGAAGATAACTTCCTACTTTACTTTGTTTATCACCAGTTGTGATACTGTCATCTTCCTGGCACTGGTAAGTTTGTCTCTTTACAGCCCTTAAGATTGGAGGTGGAGCAATGTGCAATAGATATGCGCTGAGCTTTGTAAAGCTTTCTATTGAAGCAATGCAACAATTTCAAAAAAGTACTATCTAAAACGATTCTCCTAAATGTCTTACTCAAGAATAGTTATTTTGGACCAAAGGTTTGGAAATAGTGGAGGAGATGCATGCTAGAGCCGTGGTACTGACATTATTAACCATAAATTTCAGAGACAGGAAAGGATTTGCAAGTTGCCAAAAGTGCTCGCAGATGAAGCGTTCTGACTGATCCTCTGGAGTGTTTTGCAGTAGCTCGCACTTTCCATTAGTATAAATGACTTGGAATTACATAACATATTATTACAAAATACTGGGTAAAATCTAAGACTGAGACACTGGATGTTTTAGTATGCCAGTTGTCCTAATGCTTCAGGGGAAAGATTTTTGTCTTTTTTACTTTGTTCAGTGGAAAGATCTACCTGTCTAGTGCATTGTGTTGCTTTGGCTGTTCACTTATTAATTGGAATACTGTTATTGCTACAGATGAAAAAAATGACCCAGAGCATGATTTGTACTGCAGACAGCTTTTGCTAGCTGCATTTCCCTAAAAGTCAAAGCAGAATTGAAGGTTTTATCAAAACCGATGGATGTGCTGGCTTGTACCTCGGAGCTAATGTAGTTTTAACAGCCACTTCTTCAAGTTCTGTGCTGTCCTTTTAAAGGCTTGACTTGCAAGGGATTATGAGTTTGGGTGGAAGTATGAAGCTTGGCACGCAGTTTAAGGTAGACAGGCTTACCTCAGTGTATGTATCAAGGTATGCAACCAAAAATTCTGCCTTGATAGTTGCAAGATACCTATTTCTGGGATTTTTCTGGTGCAGAAATGAACAGGATCTGGTGAAGAAACATTCTTGGTCTGCAGTGGAATTTGGAGGAGCGTTATAATGTTTAAGCTACCAGTGTGTGCAGTATGTGTGGACCTGATTGTTTAGTCTTTGAGGAGCCTCATGAGAGACTTATTGAGGTGGAGTTAGGTTATTCCATATCCTTTATCTTTAAAACTTTCTTTTCTTCCTTGGATGCTAAGCTGAAGTTCTGAAAAGCTTGAGTCTTATTTAGCCTGGGTTTTCTACCTTGTAATTGTTTAGAGGATGTTTCAGGAAATGCTGCTGAAGTCCTGAGTGCAGAGAGAGGTGGTGCCTATAGAGGCCTTCAGGCAAACTATGGAAAGAGAATAATAGATTCAGGGCTCCCTGCTTTTCTTTGAAATAGCTCTAAAAATGAGTAAAAGTTATTAGATGTGATAAAGGACACTGAAGTGGAAGAGATTTGGATTCTGAAACATGAAGTGTTAATCTGAATGGTGGAAGCAAGCCATTAAATTATTAAGCAACCTACTTTCTGGGATCAAAGGAATACGATAAGAACAATAAACACAACCCTGGAAGTCACCAGTGCTAGAGCCCTCAACTGACCCTTTTGCCTTGGTGCCTGGTTGGACTTAGTGACTACTCAAGTCCTTTTAGCACCCTCTATGTGTGCTGCTCATAGGACGAGTTTCAGCTGCTGCACTATACACAGTCCTTGTCACAGTGCTGGCCCTTGAAGCATGCTTCTGGCCACAAGAAGTCCCTACAAAGTGAACAAGTAACCCCCTGGGGAAGGCGCAGCTGTTATAGGCTGTTCTCCTGAAGTGATCCTCTAGCTCCCTGCAACGTTCTCCTTGGGAGACTCCTGCAAATTTGCTGTGTGAACTGTTGAAGGGAAAGCAGGCTTCCTCCAGCTGTCTGCGCACAGCTGGAGACGTGACTCCCTGCAGATGGCATGCTCAGAGGACCTGAAGCAAACCTCCCATTTCTCATGGTCATGAAGAAGAAAATCCAGTATTCAGCCATTCAGAGTTAATCCTGTTATGCTACGCAGCTTTGGTGTGCATGTCACGAACAGAACAAAAGCTTGAATGATACCAAATATGCTTTCTGGGTTACGATAGCACCCTTAATCTCTGTGCATGCACTTGCGTGCCTTTTATCATTTCTGAGGGTTCTCACACAGCTTAGGTGGCAACAGAGAAGGCCTCTCACGTTGTGATCATTGGACCTCAGGCTAGCAGAGTTATGTTCCGAAAGTGATGCAGACACCCCAGAGGACTGTGGTTCAACTTGGGCAAACTCCTTGCCAAGTAAAACTGAAGTTGTCACGCTGTTGGTGCAGAGCTCCGACTTTGGTGGAAACTAAGATTTGCCAGCTCTCTTGAGAATTGTTGCTTGACATGCCACAAACTTAAAAGGGCAAAAATAATGTTACACACACCAACACCTAACTTGAAATTCTGAGCTGCCTGGCGGCAGGTTCCCTGGAGAAATTATATTCATGTGAATTAAGAATGGATTAATCCATTTGTCTTGTGCTTTTATTGCCAATAAACACCCTCAAAAAACCAAAAAAACCCAAACAAAAATGTGGAGAAGGCTACAACTCAAGCTGTATGCTATTTAGAGTCCAGTTGTATGCTATTTGCTCTTTAGTATACATGCAGGATGTAGTCATACGGGGTGCTGAGCATCTCAAATTGGAGATCATACCAAGATGAGCCCAGAGTTGAGGAAGGGAAGGCTGGCATATCTTGGGAGAATTGTTGAGGGAGCTGGTCCTAGATGGCATAGCCTTTTGTGTTGCTGTGGTGTTGAGTGGTTTCACGGATTGAGGCTCCAGTGGACCGAATGGTAGCAAAACATATGGCAGAAGATGGTGCCAAAGAATTTGCGGCCTGGATGCAAGGTAAGGTATAGGGCCTTCATTAAGAAGGAAGAATGAGGAAGCGGTGAGATGTTGATAAACATAAAGCAAACATTTGTTTTTGCTGATGTTGTCCAGTTATTCTAAAAATATCATCTGTGTGACTGATTAATGAAGGCTATGACCCACCCCCTAACTAACATGGCATCTAGTGCTGTAGTATGTGAACACCCCCCACGAGCACAGCTGGACCATCAGGTAGAGACAGCTCCCAGGTTAATTTATTTGCAGGTAGCGAGGGAGGAATAACAATGAGTAAGTCTCCTCCGTAATTTTTGCTGTATCCTCTGGATGTCAAAAGTGTTATTTCCCATGCTCTTGCCCGTTGTGTGCAAATAGTAGGCATTTTATACCCATGTGCAGAGAACACGCGAGGAACTCTACATGGGTGAAAGAAAACTTGGCTCTAAAAGATCCTTGTCGAAATGAAGCAAGTAATCCAAGCTGTTTCCTGTGATCCCTTCATTATTCAGCCAGACAGCTGATCTATTTTTAACCGGTTGTATTGAAGTGAAACCCCTGCTCTAGAGAGGCTGATAGTTGTTTCTCTGAATCTAGCTTTAGTAGCTGTAGTTACCGTGACTTAAGTGGGACTAAGTCCAGATTTATACTCAGACAGTAGAAGACTGTAAGGGCCACGGTGAGATGGAAAGCAGACAGATGCTCTGTCTGCATCAGCAGGCAGGAAGGCTGACCTGTGTGAACCGCTTCCAGTAGCGGTGACTCTTCCCCTGGGAAACGTGAACCCTCTGACAGAGCTGACCACAGGACGCTTACAGAGCTGAATAATGTTCTAGCTGTTATAATCTGAAGAAATAATTGGGTGTCTGCAGAAATAGTTTCAAAATCATCTCTGCTCTTTGTTGACCTAGTCAGTGATTCCTTGATTGTTCTTCTGGAATCACAGGACTGAATCCAGAGCGACGTGTGGGTTTTGTTTGGAAGGCAGGGGCTTGCAGGTATATGGAGGCATGGTTTTCATTGGTTTAGCATGAGGGTGGAGGGATGCTAGCAAGGTAGTGTGCAGAAATTTGCGCTTTCTTGTGTCTTTCTCGCTTGTTGCCTGAAGGAATGTAATTCACTTAAGTCTGCTGTAGGCATGCCTTTGTGATGAGCTAAGTTAGTATGTGAAATTCTTGCCCGTCAAGACCTGTGTACATGTTTTTATCAGTGGTGAACTGAAGGTTAACTATTCCCTGGTAAAAGGAGTGGGTGGGAGCTGCCTTACATCCAGGTTTAAGTGTGTGCCTGCAGCACTCTGTGCTTTATCTACTGCTTGATGTAGATTGAGTCCATGGTTACTTGTTGATTAGTTTATTTTTTTACATATCCCCTGCCAGTCAGGAGGAGATGAATGTTCTTGGCCTGCGACTGGGCTTAGAGGCTTATCCTGCTCTGAACTGGACCTCTGTAGACCCTGTAACCTCAAATGTTTGGCAGTACTCTGGTAAGCTGTCTTGTGTGACGTGTGGCACAAGATAGCAGCATTTCCTCAAAGAACTACATAGCCTTTCTAACACCTTTATGTTATGCAGTTGTCTCAAAATTGCTCCTGAAGTATTTGGAAAGACAAAGGATGCTTTTTGGTTCATTTGTGTTATTTTATGTTTTATTTGTTAAGAGCTCATTAAAAAGATGGTGCAAAACTTCTTGGGTCAATACCACCTTTGACAGCTATGAGACTTCTTGAAGTTGGTCCAAAAGTTTAAGGAGAATTTGGATCAACAGCAGTCTGCATGTCAGGTGTCTTTATGCACTTATGTCAGCTGCAGTGCACATAACTGGTGTGAAGTCTTTGTATAAGAGTTTGCGGGCTTCATTCTGTTTTCTTCTAGTTTGTGAAATAAATAAAACCGTGGGTATTCTGAGAAGGTGCAAAGACAGAAATGGAAACAAGGAGTCTAAAAAGTGCAAGAAAGTCAAACGGTAAGGAGGTTTGAGTTGCTGCAGTTTGGGGTTGCAGTGCATCTTGTCATAGTGAGTAGGAGGAGAGCAGCTGCTGGAAGGCAGGGTTTAGCCAGACTGTGGCTCTCTGTGTCTGCAACCATGGAGTCGTGTGGAGGGTCTCTCTCAGCCTTGCTTTTAGTTTAGGCATACAAAATGCCAGCACAGTTGACCACAGAATGTATCATTCTCTTGTTGAAGGCTTAATGGTTTACGTAGTCTAATTTCCATTTAATGGGCTTTTCTCCAGCAAGAGAATTTGGCATCCTCAGGATAAGCCTGTTCTTGAATAGCGGGTTTATAGCAGCAACCATTCAGCTGCAAAGTGTTGGCTCGCTGATCATCTTGTTTCTCTTTGGGAATATGAAGAGATAACGACTTTAAATTTGGCTTTTATTGTTGTACAGTTAGGCTTTACAAACAGTTGTCCTGGTCAGAGTTCTTGGCCTGCCTTATGAGAGGCTTTACAAGTGACAAATGTCTCTTACTGCGGGGATTCTGAAGAACACAGCCGAAAGTTGTGGAGATGAACACTGTAAGCTAATGCTGGCTTTGTAAACCTTCTGTTGACTGCAGAAAGGTTACTTCTATTGGTTTTGTCTGTTTTATGCCAAGTGAAGACTGTAAGAAGTCCGAAGTGTTTTTCAGAAGATGTATTTTATGTAGAGGAGTACTTTTTTCTAAAGGCAGACCTGGGTGTTTTTAGCGACTGACACCTGGGCTCAACTAGATGGAGAAATTGGGTAGATTGTAAGCTGTCCAGCTACACAGGAAGAACTTGCTGTGCTAGAAGGAATGGTGTATGGTCAGCAAAAGCATGAGCTTTCATTTTGGGACCCTTTTATAGCTTGCTCTGGTAGAGATGAAAAATGAATGGGTTGTAGACTATTCCAATTGCCCCATTTCTGAGCCTTTAGAAGTGAAAGCAGAAACTATCCTCATTTTGTGGGATAGAGTGGGTTTGGTTTTATGGTTGTAGCAATGGTAGGAAGTTTCCTTAAAGTAGATGTTTAACATTCTGCTGCTCTTGAACTTGAGGTTGTTCCTTTTGTGTGTTAATAGATGTGTGGAAAGTTTCACAGAAGGAGCTGTAACTTCAGATGCTTGGAGTTTTGTTCTAGGGGGCATAAAGATGGGACTGTTGGTGGGAGAACAGTGAGGATGATGAAGGGGAGGAGATGCAGCAGGAGCTGGGGCCAAACTTTTGTGAGGAATTAAGAAGTATTACTTACCTGAAAAAACTGCCCAAACAAGTGAAGACCAGCGGCACAACAGTTGCGAAGGTGAACACTTGCTGTTGACTGGCACATCATGGAACTGAGCTGTTGGTTTTTCAGCTTTGTTCTGGCAAATGTTATTTTCAAAAAAAGCATGACTTCTCAGAGCCATGGCAAATGACAGGAGTTTTAGATGATGACCTACATACCTTATGTGGCTGGATCTCATTGCCAGCTGCTGTGCTGCAATAGTAATTTTAAGTGATGATCAGCTTCTGTTCAGAGACTTATAATGAAGGGAAAGAAATAACCATGCTTCGAAAGGCTAATGTAGCTTCTAGGGCAGTGTCCTATTGCAAGAGGGGGCTAGCTAGAGCTTCTGCGTTGGCAGAGGCTGAGGGCTGAATTTTCCTTTAGCATGAAGTGTAGTATAGTTGTCTTGTCTGATGGCTAGGAGCAGGTTAATTAGGGTGTACTTGTGAAAGGATCCTAGCCTCATGGTCTAAAGCAACATACATTTCACTGAAGGAAGTAGTAATTGTTGTATGGTAAACAAAGCCTGTGTCTTCTGCAGACTGGTGTAACCATTGCTATAAAGTCAAGTGTTTCTTTTATGCCTCACCATATAAAGGCAATAAATATTTATTTTCCAGGCCAGTTCTCAGAAATTATTTGGGCTGCTTGGCATTGATGGGACTGGAGCACCCATTATATTCAAGGTCTCAGAGTTATCCCAGACATCTGAGAGGAATTTGCACCTGGGGTTGAGCTCTGTCTGTTTCTGTTCTATCAGTTTGCAGTTTGGATGCAGCAGGGGTTGAGTTTCTCATTTGACAGCAACTCTTGATGTACATTGCCCAATTTTCCCACGGTCTGTGGGGTTTAATTAGTTTATCAGGACCCTCGCTTTTGGTATTTCTTTGGACCTCTCTGATACACATTGGCCTGGAGAACAAGTAATGATTTCAAGTGCTGGTCTGATGAAAGAGCGCCAAGAAGTAATCTAGCACCATTAGCATTTGTTTATGATCAAGTCTCCTCTGCAATCTGTCCTTTACAATCACGGACAAAGCAGGGGTACCTGTAAGGTTATCTTTAAATAGGTGCATTTGGTATCGGGTCCTTTGCAACAAGAGCTGGAGTTCACTGTTTTTCCAGATGGACTGTCTGCTCTTGTACCTGCGCAAGGCTCCTCACTGCACATCATCTAAGGTTGCCTTTGGACATATTGGGGTCACATAGAGAAAGAATGGTTTAAGGTATTGTGGAGCAAGTGGTTAATATCAAGGTTTTTACTGAATGGCTGTAAATGAGAACCAGGTGTAGGGAGAACAGGGAAAGAAATTTGTGTGACCTGCACAATGTGGTTGGCATGCTTGCTGTGCTGCTAGGAAGTGAAGTAATGCTCTTTGCAGCCTGACTGGGGTTGGCTGTAGCAGGTGTGCAGGGCTATTGGGTGACTCCGTTCATGACTATTGATTTGCATCCTCAGATCTAAGGCAGAACAGAGCCGGGTGAGATGCCTTCTCTTTCTGTGAAGTGAAAAAACATCATCTCAGATGGTCATCCTTCCTTCCTCAGACTGCAGATCAATGAAGTTTCTATTAAAGCTGGAATGGTTGTTTGCCCTATGAATGTTTTAAGTTGTAGTTGATGAATTAAGTAAGCGATGTCACATTTATTTTCCAAATCTAGGAAGGGAATTTTTTTCCAATATTAATAGTCCGGTGTGCATGGAAGGGTTTAGGCCAGAAGGGTCATTTAGTGCTGAAAGATCCTGATTAACCTAATTTTACCCTGGTTCTTACAGCATAAAGAAGAATAATCTAATTCCATTATAGTCCATGGCTTAGCTTCCTGAGGAGCAAAATTAGTTTGTTTTGCCTTTAACTGAGATGTGAAAGAATTAGCCAGAACAGTCGAGGTGTGGACCTAAGGTGTTTTACTTCTCATAGTCTCTAGCACAGTGGAAAGGCTGGAGAAGTTTAATAATCTGTTCCTGCAACTGCATTTTATTCTCAAAACACTCTTGAGCTACAAGTTCTGCATGATGGTATGGCAAGTGAGTTGGTAGAATTAATCTAAAATACTGTGCAGAGACAGGTCTTCACTCACACAAGGTTTATTTGTTTATGGTTGCACCAGAGGTCTAGCATAACTGCCATATGTTACTGCCAAGTGTAGTCTCAAACACTTGCCTGGAGTGTAAATTATTCTTGCTTTTCACAGTTAAGTAGGAAATGTCATTTACAGTTTAGTATTGCTTTAAAGGAAGAGTAGGGACAAGGAGTGTTAAACAAAATAAAAAGAAATTACTGAGCATTAGGCTGGGGAAGCTACAATAGCAGCAATTTAACATCTCCTCTAATAATTGTTTCCCTAGATCAGGAAGTGTCCTGCACCACTGGAATGAAATATATCATTTTGTGGAACATCTGGCCCGCAAGTTCATAAGGTAAGAAGTGCTGCTGTGCAGATAAGCAAACGAGGAGAGGTGTGTGTGCCAGCAGCTGGCAGATGTGCTCTCAGTTGCTGTCAAGCAGCATGTGCTGGTTCCACTCCCATGGTGGAGAGAGAGTTTGTAGTGCCGTTCTCGAATCATCCCATTGACTGCTTCCCCCCAGATTTCTGTCATGCAGGAAACAGGATTAGATAAGCTAGTTGGTCACTTTTTTTGCTGCCTGACTTCCGTGGTTGAAATTGTATTTTTGTGAGGCAGGAATCCTCATTGTTTCTGAGATGGCTGGCTGGTGCCTGAGGTACAGAAGTTTGGGTCTGCAGGGAGAAGCCTGAGGCTGCAGCTTTCCGGCACTGAATGCCTTGAGACTGGATGAAAAATCCCCCAGGCCAGTGGGTGGAATGTGTTATGAAAAACATAATTAGCCTTCCTTCATCTCCATGGTGATACCAGGACATGCTTCAGCCTTTCTTGCTTTAACAATCCTTAAGGTCATGATGCAAGTGCTATTTACACCTTTTGGAAGGATTCCTCATGGCTTGCCTTGACTGGGAAGGCCCAGGGCGAAACACCTCTTGCTGCTCAGTCCTGTCTTTCACCCTGTTGAGTTATACCGCAGATAGCAGTCAGAGTGCCCTGTGTGCTTGGTGTTATGTGTACAGTAAGCTCTGGTCTGGACCACCAAAATAATTTACTGTTTTTCTCTCCTTCTCCAGCCCTCAGCTGAGGATGTCCTTCATTGTTTTTTCAACTAGAGGGACAATTCTAATGAGGTTAACAGAAGACAGGTAAGAAGAGGTTTAAAGGTGCACAGCAGCTTTTGTGTCCTTGTCGTAGCTTCTTTCACCAGTCCAGTCCACTGTGAGCAGTGTTGTGACACCTTTGTGCTTCTCAAAGTAATTGAGCCTTGTTGCCTTTGAAACATCGCTAGGGAGTTTCTTCTGCATACAAATAGGTGAAACTCCCTTCTCAAAAACAAACTTGAAAGCCGTAGGTGACAGCCCTGCTCTCGAGGTAGAGGTGAAGGTATGTTATAGGCAAACAGTGTTTAGGATGGATTGCAAGGGTGTGCATTTTTTGGCAATGACAGTTTGATTGGCATGTTTCTGAAGCACATTGCTGTCATCCCCTTGTAGATCCCCAAGTTATTCTCAGTAAAATATATGGGATGGATTTTTTGTTTTATCCTGACTTCAAGGAGAGCTGGATGAGGTCCTTTAATCGCTCTTGCTTCCTCTGTTAACTTCATTGCCACGTGGAGCAAAAAATATATGTAACACATGTGAAGACTGTGTAAGTCAGCATGTGTTCTACATATTGGATGTCTATGAAATTGCATACCAGAGCAGCTACTATAGAGGGATGACTAGGAAACTGGCTGCTTTCCTAAGGAGCAGTCCACAAACATACCAACCTTGACAAATGGCATTAAACCCAGCCAACCTAAGCATCTCTTGTGACTTAGTGCAACAGTAAGTATAAAGAGAATTAACCATATCTAACGTGGTGCCAGAGGAGAACTTGTTCCCTGCCTCTTTGTCTGCCACCCTGTGAGCACACCCTGTTGCAAAGATCTGAAGCCTGTTAAGGCTCTAAGTCATGAGTTCCTATGTGCAAATGTATTTCATATTTCTCCAGCTGTTCTAGAAATGTTGACTGGGAACAGGATATTGATATGGTCTTAGTCTAAAAGCCAGCTGACTGGAGAGCTGCTGTTTTTTATTGGGGGACTCACAAACAAGGTGTGTGCTTCATGCTGGTCCTTTAGCTAACACTGGGCTTTCCTAATAAGGAAGCTGGAGTAGTGGCAAAACGTCTACTACCTTGCATATGCCTCCATGTGGTGTATCAGCATCTGAATGGGAAGACTGAGGGTGCTTAGCATCCCTTTTGGAAAACCTCTGTGCTTCTGTTGGGATAAGATTGGCATATTGTAAACACCTTTGCTCTCTCTTTTAAAATTTCAGTGTTCACATTTGAAAAATAGTTTTGATCACAGGAAATGCTCTTGATTTTATATTCAGCTTTGTGTTGGTATGTGCAGGGGTAGCTGAATGGAGGAAATAGCTGCCCCTAGCACACCTGTGCTATACAGCTCAGGGTCTAACTAGTTTGGGATATTGCAGGTACAGAATGAGTTTGTGGAAGGTTGGTAATTCAACCTATTGCAAGAGCAGATACTCTCTTCTCCCTGTTGGAGTTGCTGCTCTGTACTGGTAATATTAATGCACTGCTGCAACCAGCCTTGCAAATGTGAGATAGAGTAGGTGATGATCACGGAAACTGGATTTTCTGAAATAGTTAAAATGTGCCAGAAGTCAGTTTTGTCCCTGCATTCGGTCTTGCAATGTCAGTGTGGTCCTGCATCCAGTAACCAAATCTATTTCTCATGAAGATTGTATAGTTTGCTCAGAGCTTCTGCATCAGAGGTTGACTAGGGTTACACAGGAAATATTTATTTAGAAAGACATGTATGAGTCTAGGAGCTAGGAGATGCTGCGATTGTGATGCTTTCCCCAGGCTGTGGGAACACTGGGAGCACATCTGCTCTGTTTTCCCTCATGCTTAGTAAGGTATCTACCCAGACATTACCTTAGCATATATAAGCATTGGATTAACTCTTCCCCCCCCGGTATCTGGTTCTGCCATGCATGTCTTCACCTGGGTATCGGCTCCTGATAAATTTGATCTTGTATCTAACAGTGTATCTGCATTCTTTGCAGGGAACAGATACGCCAGGGTCTAGAAGAGCTGCAGAAAGTCCTGCCAGGAGGAGACACATACATGCATGAAGGATTTGAAAGGGTAACTAGATGCATGCTATAGTGCCTCTAAACTGTGTCTGGGTGCTCCTCAGGAAGTGTTAAACAAAGGAATCTGGTTAATAATTCTTTGGTAGGGAAGTGGGGCTATTTCTCTTTTATGCAGTAGGTACACCGAAGTGTACACATTCAGTGTTGGAGCAGGTACAAGGGAGCTGCAAACCCTACTACTTACCTTTCTTTTTGCCTTCAGCTTTTCTGGGGGGAGTTACCTTTTCAGCTTAGGACAAGGTTGAAGTCTTTGGCATTGCAGTCCCACACGGAACTGTGTTCATGAAGGGTGGAAAGCTGTCTAGACTCCTGCTTGGGTGCTGCAGTAAACTTGTCAGAATTGGGTGGGGGCTGAGGCCATGACTCTAGCCTGTACTCATTGGTGGGCAAATAATGCTACGCAGAAGTTATTGCCTGCTCTGAACATCTTGTGTATATTTTCACGCTCAGGAGTTTCTCTAAACCTGAACCCACTCCCACTTCTGTACTACAGATGCATTTTGAAGGGTTGTGGAACTGTCTTCCTATTGAAAAATGCGTGTAAATGCACACCAAAAATTCAGTGACATGACAGAGATGCTGGCTCTTAACTTGGAGTCCAGAACCAAATCCCAGTTTGGTGATGTCAGAAACTTTGCAGGAGAAGTCTAAAAAAACCAAATTTAATTCCAGAACAGAAATTATATTCATAAGGCAAGTATGTTCAGAATTGCCTAGTTTTCAATTTCGAATCGATGCACACTGAATCATTTGCCCTTCTGCCTTGCAGAATATGCTTGCTCATAGATCAAGTGGGAGACAGAAGCATAAGAATATCTCCCTGCAGTTGGTTTATTTAGTTGATCTAGAGGTGTCAGGGAATATTTATCGATGGGCCTCGGATGTTTCTCAAGGAGAGGGGGTGAATGTGGTTTTTCAGGTAGCAGAATAGCAGGAGACTACTGTTGGCCAGTGGCCTTAGGGTTGGTTTGACTGAGTTATGGTTTAGATAAGACCTTGAAGAATCACAATTAAAACCATAGGCAAGAAACTTGTTCTGTGAAGCAGATATCTTGGAAAACAGAGGTTATGTGCAGACTATAAACATGACATCCTCACTGCTATCTTCACTTTCTTTCTAGTGTGCGTGTAGATGCCCACAAAGTATTATTATTCGTTTATTGCTAATAATCTTCTGGTTTAATTTCAGGCAAGTGAACAGATTTACTATGAAAATGTTCACGGTGAGAGACTTTCTTGATCCATTCATTGTTTTTTTTCTCTTTCTTTTTGACTGTTAACTTTAATAGATTTGAAATGCAGCTTCACTGTGGGAGAGGTTGGGGGTGGCTCCTACTCTTACAGGAATGCAATGCTATTCAGGGTGCTTTTTCCTGAAAAGGAAAAAGGACAGGTGGAGCTTTAAGGATCCAGAGCTGGAATGAAGGCATTTCAGGCCAAAAGTGAGAAGCTAGGCTGACTGACGGTGCCTACTCTTACCAAAAGTGTCTGGTGCCTTACTTTACTCTTTTTGCTTGAGGACTCAGGTAACCATTTCTTCTTCTCTGAAACATGAGTACGTGGAGATGCTGTTTGGTAAATGTTTTTTTCAATAAGCAATTATTAAATCCAGTAGGAAGTGCAGAAAACTGCAAAAATGTTTGTCCTTTCCTTCCCTGTAATTAATGCAAAAACTTTCTGCACTGCAAAGCCTGAAGTAGAAACGTAAATATTGCTTCTTGGGAACCAAAAGATAGGCAACCCGATGTTTGAGTACAAAGCCAGTTGTGATGATTTTGCAGGGCCACTGATGAATGAAATGAAGTAGTGACTAAGTCCACACGGCTTTGGGACTCACCTGTAAAATATGACTACAGCAGAATGGTATCAATAGCTAGAACAATTCAATTTGGGGTTGATAATGCTTTTATATGCTGGTATACATGTTAAATGTAAACAGATTGCTGCCATATGCAGGCAGCAGTGGACAGCTGGGTCCTCAAGTCAGAATGTTGGCTTGCGTATTTTGTCTCTTAGTTCTGTGTGTTTGTCCTTGCTCCACTAAAGGGAGTGTTTATACCACCTGCAGTAGGTTGAAAGGCTCCTGCAGTAGTCAATGGAGGGAGAAAGGCATCTCTGGAGGTCATTTGGGTTCCTCAGTTTGTACGAGAAGTGCTGACTTTTCCCCATTTCCTACAGAAAGAGCCTGGGCACTTGAGTTAGGCATCTGCAACATGAATGGCCTTGCATGTTGCTTATTGTTTGTCAAGCAAGTAAGTTTCTTGTTGCGTCATTACCACTTTATTTAAAATTCGGCATTTCTAAGTGGCACCAGGAAAATTAGGTATTGATGTCTGTTCTGCAGTGATTGAGGAAGTTGCTTGTTTGGGTTTTTGACTCTTCAGCAACAGTTGTTAAAGGCACAGCTACTTGTAATGGCAGGAAAATGCCCTAGATGGTTGAAGAAATTTAAAGGTTGATAATTTACATGCCTTGACATATTTAGCCTTTATCTTTCTGTAACAGTATTTGTGCGAGTTGTACCTACAGAGCTGCTTCAGATCTGTAACAAGTCTACTGTTAGAAATATGAATTAATTCCATTTGGCCACTCCTGAAAACTAATACAAGCTTGTAAAACCCAAGCTATAATCAATACAAGGGGAAGACTGCAAGGTTTAACTATGTTGCTGAATTAGGTTATATAGGAAGACTGGAGATTTTAGGCCGTATTTGTACCATGTCTGTTTAAATCAGAATTGAGCTTTTTATCACAAGCTGAAAAAGATCTCTGGATTTTGTGAATTGACAGCATTGATGAAATCAGGAGAAAACTAGGAACACCTTGCTGTTTGTTTTTTTTTTTTTTTATGGCAGTCTAATCTACTGGTGTGAAATATGTGAAAGAGTTATGAGGGACTGTCAATTAAAAATCATTGGCACCTCAAAGGAGCGCGGTATAAAACTGGTATTGAAGGTGGGTGCCTGAGTGGAAAAAGTGCAGAAATTCATGTCTTCTGAAAACTGGTTGGCTGAAGGGAGGTAAGGACATGAGCTTGGTGTCCACTATTTCTGGTCTTTTAAGTGTGCTAACAGGCCACTAGCAGGTTATTTTCCAGGCTAGTTTAACAAATACAACTCAGAAACAAAGGCCTAAAGAAGTTTGTGTGTTTAGGTTACAGAACTGCAAGTGTCATCATTGCGTTGACAGACGGAGAACTCCATGAAGACCTATTTTTCTACTCTGAGAGGGAGGTAAGCGTCTTGCACATTTTTAGCCAGGGAGCCAGTGAAATGTTTGGACTTGCTGCTTTGAAGGCAAAAGATAGAGAAAACCTTTTCCCCTAGTAAAGAAACTTCCCTTTGGTGCTCTTTAGACATGAAATCTTAAGGATAAACATTAACAGCAGACATGCTTCTGACTCATCAAAACTGAGACTGCTCATAGGAAAGGTTTAAACTTCCAGTTAAACAAAACACCAAAAAAAGGGCGGAAAGAATAGTTCAGAGTTGAAAAGTTTGAGTATTTACTGGATTGTTCTGGGAAGTAACCTGAATCTTCTCACTTTGACTTTTCTTCTTTTACAAAAAAAGACTGCAGAAAGAGGATGACTATTGTTCCTATAATCATCACATCAGAAAGCCTCTCAGATGATCAGATCCAAAACTTCCACAAATGTTTACAAGAATCAAGTGTGTATTCTTAACACCCTCATTAAATTAGCATGTTATGCAAAATGTAAGATAA